TCTTATTCTCTGCTTTTTTTTTGTGGGCTAGTCGTTCAGCCCATGAGCCTAGAGGCGGGAAGCGAAAAGACGGTCAAGTTGTCTAATGCTACGATGCACATGGTTCGCCGTGTATGTACTCGATACGGCCCTGGTACAGCTTGGGGGATGCGACTGTGCTTGGGACAAGGCATCTGATCCTGCCTACATGGAACAGCTCTCAAAGCCCCGAATCGAATCACCGTCTTTTTTCTTGTTGCTGCGGCCGCGAATCACGCGAGCCATTTCTTTCCCTCGCCTGCATTGAACCCCCGTCACACCCCCCCCTTCGTCTCTGCTGTTTATTCTCTCATGGAGCGGTCTCGCTCGTTTGTCGAGTGGCATGAGGAGGAGAGGGGGGGGGTTGCTCGCTTGAGACAGTTTGGCAATTGGATATAAGGTTGATGAGAGGCATCTGACCCATGGCTACCACGATGCTTGGTCAAGGTCACTACACCCCCCTGTCTGAACCTGGCAACTGTCTTCCGTGTCTTGGCTTTTTGCTAGCCTGACCGTCCCCCTGGTTCGAGTGAGAGGTGCGCTTTTCGAAAACGCGTCTCGTCTCAGCATCAAGATCACGCTGCCCATGGCCAAGTCCTGGCTCCTTTCAAACTTGATTTCTTTTACAGTCCAGTACCCAACGGCCGAAACAAGAAGCCATGAAGTAGTACTGTTTACGAAATACTGTATAGAGTAACTGGCCGTACTCTGTACCTGTCGCCGCCTTCCCCCCTCTTCTCGCTCTTCTCACCAGCTTGTTTTTCTTTCCTGTACAGTAGCATAACGCCACCTTCACCCACGTGCTTACTACGCCTGTCCCGGCATGGTTGATTCACGCAGGCGGAGATGGACTCCGTAGAGGAGCAGAAAGAGGAGGCAGTGAACCATTGCGAGCGGAGAGATTTTGCTGGGTCCCCTTGGGTCTCGTCCCTGTGACCCCTGGTCTCTTTTTTTTTTTTTTTTTTCTTTTTTTTCTTTTCTGTGCATTCAGCTTTGTCAGTTCGGCGACCAGGAAAGGTTTCTCTTTCCCCTTTCCCCTCGTTCTCAGCCTCAGGAGGTGACTGATCGCTTTTCGACTGGGATTCAATGATGAATGCACTGTGGGCAAGGTTGCGAAAATGTGGCTCCCCCATTTTTTCTCTGTCTTCTCTCTGGTTCCCTTCAGAGGAGGGGGGGCAAAGACGTGCATGACAATGGGGCCTGAATGTTTTTTTTTCTTCCAACAGTCTTTTTTCCTATTCGGTGTCAAGGCATGCTATTCGTTGACACGCGGACCCTTCCTGAAAGGTTCACGCCGGGGGAGGAGATCTTTTCTGGCCTCTCGTGTGTCGTTTTGGTGACCCCCGACTCTTTTTCAGCCACGCCCGCTGTGCCTGCTTTTTTCTTGCAGCGGTGTTATCGGTCAGGTCAGGATTCCCGTACAGTATGGAATGGGGGAGCCGAAGACCTTTCCAACCAGGTCCCCAGTCCGAAGGAATGGACTCTGGTTGGATCTCAGCAGATGCCCTCTGCCGCCCCTCCTCGTCACTTTTCTCGTGCTTCGCTTCTTTACTTTACTTTTCTTTCCTCGTAGAGAGTGTGTGTATCTTTACACCCCCCTCCCGTTTCTCCGAGAAGGTCACCTCTGCGTCATCTTCCTTGTTGCAGAGGGTTTTTGAACAAAGGCGGTCTCCGGCTATGATGTGATGACCCCGTACTCCGTAGGGCACGACGAGATGATGTTGCTTGCGACTTTTGTCATGGCTGTTGCAGAAGACTGTTGGGCTAAACTCCCCCGGTTTTTACTGTCGTCCACCATTTTCTCATCTTGGTGGTAGTTACGGATAGTAGTAGCAGTTTGCAAAACCGGTGCTGATCCCAGAATCTTGGGAACTAAGAATCAGATGGCTTGAACCAATACGCCTCTGGGTGAACAGATGCCTTGCCTAAAGAAGCAAAAGATGGTTGGGGCTAGCTTCAGCTGCGATTTGTGCCCATCTTTTCCGGAGTTGCGATACCAGCTTTGTGTTAGAGTGAGCTGTGTACTAAGCACACTCTGGAGATGCGGCCTTCTTTTTCAAGGACTACGATACTTTCTTTTTGGGACCGCGAGTCATTTGATTTTGATAGAGGTTTGATTGAAAGAATGAGCTGAAGTGGTGATGAAAGATGGCTTTTTTACTATTGATTATCTTGTCGCCTCTGAGGAACATGGTCTGTTCATGCCGTGGATTCCGAGAGACCAATCTGGTATTTTGCCGTTCTCAGCCTTGCTTTTTTGATGGTGGAATGTAGAGTACATGCTTGTACACTCTGCTTAGGGTAATTTCTTGTCCTTTGGGTTTGTTGTTGGTGGTTCACCTTGTCAGCTCCCGACATTTTTTTTTTTTTGCTGGGGGGTGCGTTGGCTAACCAAAGATGCTTGTTTTCGTTTGGCATTGTGTGACATGTCTTGTCTCTTTTCTGAATCAGTTCGCCGATGTCTTGGGGTTTTTTTTTTTTGACACTCTTTCGCTTTGCTTGGTGTTATTGAAGAGCTGGGATGGGGCGGGCTGAGCGGGCGTTTTTTTGGGGGTGCCTGCAGACGGCACTGACCTCTTCTTTTTTTTTTTGCTTGCTTTCTGAGAGGTTGATTGTTGTTGTTTGGCTGGGGGGGTTTGGTAAGGGGAAGCTTGTACAGAACAGAACAGAACAGACGGTATCTTGCTTTTCTCTGATGCGTGATGGGAGTGTGTGTGTGTGTGTGTGTGTTTCTATTCTTGGATGCTTAATTAATTAAATCCTTCCTATTGTGAGGATGGATGTACATGGCATATCATATTTTTGAAAGCACGGAATCAAGTTTCAGATTTTGGGCTTGTCGTCTGACCAACACCCCCCCCTTTTTGTTTTGCGCGGGGGCGTGTCTTTTCGTTTGTTACTTTTCGTCTTTTTACTTTACGGTTTTTTCTTCTTCACGGGTTTCGTGGGTTTAACTACTGGTTGACTTGTTGAGATGCTCTATGAGGGAAGTGGTGACCCGTACTATGGGTGTTGATTGCCTCTCGTCTTCGTGTGAATGTGATGGATGGATTGATGGATCCTTTTCATGAGGTGTGTTTAGGTGACCTTTTGAAGATTTGGTATGTTTCTTTTGGTTTACGTGGTATCGTATTGAGCGTTTATAGGATTGCTTTTACACAGAGTTTTGTGTTGCCCTTGTAGATTGGACGAGACCGGACGGGTTCAGATTCAGGTATGGGTATTTTCTGGGGGGGGGGGGGTTGCATGAATGAATGAATGGGATGGGATGGATGTTGTTTACGACTTCTGATTAACTAATTGTATGGTCCCTGAACAGCCTTCTCCAGCGGGGATCTGGACTGTGATGGGTTACTTTTTTTACTTTTGAAGACGGCGAGGCGGCTTTTTTATTTTGTTTTATTTGGGGTGATCCTGGTAATCACTCACATGTTGCTCCCTCGTAACGATGAGGAGGGGGAAATGAAAGGGGGAAGGGCTGTAGAGCTTGGACTTTTTGGAGTTCAGCTCAGCTCAGCTCAGCTTCGTTCAGCTTCTGCAGAGAAACCCCCTTTTCCAATGAAGCAATGTTGTTTTTTTGGGGATGAAGGGAAAAAAAGGTAATGTAAGATGGAAATATGAAGGAGGAGATTGATTATAGCAAAAAAGTACATGCACAAGGGGGAGGATGATGCTCTATAGATGCTAGCTGGTTAACTGGTAGGCAGTACACACATTCAGCCATCTTGGCAAAAAGCAAAGAAAAACAGACATCTCGATCCTGCTGTACAATAATGCATAATGAGCACCCCTTGCCTGGAGTTACTTGTTCTTGCATTTCTGATGATGCCGTTATCGACGTCCCTTGCATGGACTGAGAAGTAGTCAAAAAATGATATCGTACAGACCTGCCACCTCAAAGTAAACCAAACAAGAACTACACTAAAGCAAAATACATTCACCAATAGTAGTAAAAACAAAAAGAAGAAAACCATCAAGGAAAAAGAATCGCAGCAAAGAAACCCACCACCACGAATCCTCCAAAAAGTACATGTAGTTTTTCGCGTCATCGCGTTCCCGTACAAGACGCGTCACCAATCTCCTCATCCCCAGCAAACAACCCGTTCGTTTTCCATCCACTACATCTCTCTCCTATATCAAGATTTACAATTAATTCAAAGACAAAATTGAGGGTGACGGGCGATACGACCGCGGGATTCGTCACCCAACCAGGGGAATCAGCCGACCTGTCGTCACCGCGGGATGTGATTTGCTGCTTTTGATGGCATGTGATGTGACTTTTTTCGTAGGATTCTCGATACAACTACCTGAAGAGGTTATTAGCATTCGTCGGTTTTAAGCCTAAACGCCTGTTTTGTTACGACTTCCAATTGTACTGGCTGACGTGGAAACATCCAATCACATCTACTATGCCCAGGGACACCAACTGAGGGATTCATCAATCAATAAGAGCCTTCACGTCTACGTCCTACGATATAAATCACGAGTCTCATAAACATCTCGAAAGGCGACACATCAGACTATTCATTCACTCTACAGCTCCACAAGAGTCATGCCAAATGTGTTATTCCAGACCTCGTTTTTTTCTCTATCAACATACATGTTAACCCTCGAGGCAGAGCCTGTGCCAATATCGATGGATGTATCGTATGGCGGCCAAGTAAGTGACTGATAACAATGGATCACCACTCCCGTGTCCTTATGTGATATACGTTCAAACCATTAGAAAAGAAAAATAGAAAAGAGGCAAAAGCAAAACGACAAAATATCCGTCAACAGCAAAAAACCAAATAACCGATGACTTCGCAGGGATGCGAGTCAATGTCTAGTTGAAACCAATCCTGTCCTCTATCAAACGCCGTTTGAGTGCATAGGGCCTTTCACGTCTGTCATGCGTTCCGGGGACGGGCAGTCATTGACTTGCGCCTTGTCCGGGTCACAATGGTGCATGCAACAACAACACATGACGAATCTCTTCCTTCTTACCATCGTCGGTTGCCGAGCGGAAGGTTGTTGGAGTTGGCTGATAGACCGTGGTCAGCTCCAGACCCTGCCCTTGTTGCTCTACCATCGACGATACCCACCTCTGCCGCCGCCACGGCCACGGTAACCGCCGTAGCCGCGACCGCCGCCGCCGCCACCGTAGCGAACCATCTCAGCAAGGCGAGGGTCGATCTGCTGCTTGGCCTCCTGGAGGACATTGACAAGATCACGGGCCTGCTTCTGGTCTGTTTTGGGCGTGGTTAGTGCTTGTCCAACACACAAGGGTGATGAGGATGTAACTTACTGTCAGTGGTGAACAGCGTAATGGCGGTTCCGTGCTGGCCAGCACGGCCGGTACGGCCAATACGGTGGATGTAGTCCTCCGAGTTGTTAGGGTAATCGTAGTTCAACACATGGGTGATGTTGCGAACATCTTTGGATTACAGAAAAAGAAAGGGTTAGCAAACGAAATACGGGTATGTATAGCAACCTCCAGCGCGGAACGTGAAGAGACGGCGTCATGATAGATCGTCCATCTGTGTACTTCACTCCTTGGTAAACCAGGGCCAATCCAAGTGCGTTTTTTCAAAATGCCAATCCATCCTCTTTGCAGGGGGACATATTATGTGATCACGGGGGTCTTCAGGGGAGACTAAGAGCCTTGGGGAGACAGCTTGATCAGGGTCAAGAGATGCCAACCTCCACCTTTGTACCACGGGGGTGAGCAAGGTACAAGAATGGAAATACGAGTATAGCAGATGGGAACGCTACACAACGGATCAAGACTCCACCACATAATGAGAACCATAACCGACACGGTTTGGTCAGGCAGTTGCGCACAATAAAGATAGCCCCTAAACGCGAGAGTAAAGTATACAGCAAGTGCTTTTGCTGGAAGTTGCTAGAGAAGGGGGACAAAGAGGGCTGATACTTACCGATACCACGGGACGCCACGTCGGTAGCAACCATGATAGGGCTCTTTCCGGTCTTGAACTGGTCAAGGACCCAGTCTCGCTCGTTTTGCTGCTTGTCTCCGTGGATTGCTGAGAGTGTGTTAGTTTTTTTTGTCTTCAGAGTGTTTCTCAGAAAAGGTTGTCTTACAGAGAGCGGGCCAGCCGTCCTGGCGGAGGAACCGGGTAATTTCGTCTGCGATACGCTTGGTGCCAACAAAGATGAGGATTTTGTTCTCCTTGTTCTCCATGACCTTCTCGAGGTGCTTGATCATGCGGTCACGCTTCTCCATCTCGGTGACAACCTCCACAACCTGGGTGATTCTGTGGTTGGCGGCCAGCTCCATGGAACCAATGTTGACCTGGATAAAGTCTTGCAAAAAGTCGGAGGCAAGGGCGCGGACTTCCTTGGGCCAGGTGGCAGACCACATGAGAGTCTGTCGGTCAGGTCGGATCTGCTCGATGATCTTGCGAATCTGGGGCTCGAAACCCATGTCCAGCATGCGATCAGCCTCGTCGAGGACCAAGTAAGTCACACGGCGCAGGTTGGTCTTGCCGGCCTCGAGCATGTCGATGAGACGACCGGGGGTGGCAATGCAGACCTCGACACCTCGGGAGAGGTCACGGATCTGAGGGCCCTTGGGGACACCGCCATAGACACAGGTGTTGCGGATGCGCGACGAGCGACCAAACTTGGAGATTTCCTGCTGGATCTGGACGGCAAGCTCACGAGTGGGGGCAAGGATCAGGACGATGGGGCCGTCGCCAGGGGCGAGCAGGGGCTGTGCGTTGATGTGAACGATGGCGGGCAGACAGTAGGTAAGAGTCTTTCCAGAACCCGTCTCGGCAATACCAACGACGTCACGTCCAGAGAGCGCCATGGGCCAACCTTGGGATTGAATGGCGGTAGGGGCAGGGAAGCCCTGAGCCTTGACTTCGTCCATGACGTAGCGAGGGAAACCGGCCTCGTCGAATGTCTCGACGGGCTTGGGGACCTCACGACCAGCAATGGTCATCTGGTGTTTGCGACGGAATTCGTCGACTTCGGCAGGGGAGCGGGCGCTGACATCAGGATCCTCCTTGTAAAAGTCCTTTTCAAACTTGGGAAGGGTGGAGAGATCTGCATTGTCCAGAGTTAGTAAATTTGATGAAAAAAGAAAAAGAAAAAGAAAAAGAAGCAACGGATCGAAAGTACGGTGAAAACGCCGAGTGAAGACATACCCCAATCTTGCTTCTGCAGACCAGCGCCGAGGTGGCCCATTCGGTCACCGCCGCCGCCTCCATAACCACCACCACCACCACCACCGCCGTAGCCACCGCCGTGACCGTTACCGAATCCGCCACGACTAGACAGAAAATCTCGTTAGCAAAAGGCCCGCTGCAGATGTGAAGTGAATGTGCGAGGCCATCGATCAAGCCGGTGAAACGAGTGTTTCCAGCTGGCACGCAGGCATCGCCAAGAGAGGAGAATCTCAACTCTTGAGCCTGCGCAGATCAAGGACAAGGAGAGGATGAAACAACTTACCCTCCGCCGTAGCCACCGCCTCCGAAGCCGTTGCGGTCGCCGCCACGATCACCGCGATCACCACGATCACGACCGTAACCACCACCGCCGCCTCCGTAGCCGCCGCCGTTGGATCGACCGCCGCCGTAGCCAGACATTCTGCCGAGTTTTGAGTTGGTTCGCAAAGGAGTTTCAGTGAGGAAGGATGGGAAACGCGGTTGTCAGGTCAACTCGAGGGGTCAAACGAGTAGAACCTGGGCCTGGGCACAAGGGGGAAAAGAAAGAAACGCGTCAGAAAGACCGAGAACCAGCGGTTCCGATGATTTGCCTCTGCTGTGCGATGAGGGGAGATTGGATGAAAGAGAGAGAGAAGAAGCCAGAGGTTGGCGTCTGAAGAATGTTTGTTGCAAGAGAAGGAATTCGGAAAGCAGGGGGGATTCGGTCTGCGCCTAAGTTTTTTTTCTTGCCTGCAGTTTTTTTTTTTTTTGCGCTAAGAAAATCTCGATGGCGCCTGCCGGTACGTACCACTCAGGGTGGCAATTTGCTGATGTAATCACGCGTCATGGGCTACCCTGGAGCGAATCGAATTTTTTGGGGACGATGAAATTGGCCAATTTGAGTTGTGGTGTGGCTTTTCACATGCAGATATGGGATATGAGGGCAGGTGAGTTGGATTGAATATCTTGGCCATAAGATTGGGGACGCTGTGTTGATTGAGAGGGATGTTAGCCTGAGGTGGTGATTAACATGGTGTAACTCGTCTTGCGAAAAATTCACCGACGGTTCTACATCTCCCTCCATATATAACGTATGAATTCACTTCAAAGGACCATTCATGGGATCGTGCAGGCCCCAAGACAATAAACAGCATGTTTATATAGACACTACTCAGAAGATAGACACGGCAATTCTACCAAAGCACTGCACTATCATGTAATCACCCTCTGCAATTCCTACAACAACCTACCACAACTCTCCCCCAACCCCCGTGATATGTATGAAACAAAGAATACAGGTAGTAGTTACAAAACAAGGGAGGTATCCTAACCTCGAACCCAATCCGGCTTTTTATTAGTCTCCAGCCCAGGCGGTCAAAGACGCCTTCTCTATGTCATAAAAAAAAGAAACGATAAAACAAGTCTCCGCTCAACACACAGAACAGACGCCCGCGAGCAATTATGCATATGCGAGCTTCATGTGCCCCATGATGGAATAGTGGTTGCTTCAAAAGCTGCGGTCAACCAGCCCGCTCTCCCTGCGCCAATTTTAGATCTTCCTTCTCTCTATGCTCTCGTCTTCTCTTTCTCTTCTTCGCCTAAAGAGTCTACTCTCGGGAGACGTCGCGGCCGAAAGCCTTGGACTTGAGCCAGTCCACGATGACCAGGACACGGTTGCGTGCTGTAGATGGCGTTAGCAGGATGTACTAAAAAGGGGAGAAACTTATGCGTAAAAGAGGACTTACTGCTGAAGCACATGGAGAGATAGGCACTTCTCCAGAAGAGATAGGTCAGGCTACCACCGGTGGCCAGGTTGCCGTTCCACCAGCTGACGTCGGCAACGGCCTTCTCGCTACCAATGTAGGCCAAGCTTCCCTGGTGGCTGTACTTGAAGGGCTTGACGTCGCGAATCTTCTTGAGCTGTCTCTCCAGAAGCTCAATCTCCTGAGCAGCCTCGGCAGAGTTGCCGCTCTCAATGTTCAGCTTGCTGCTCAGCTCCTGGATGCGGGCCTCGTGGTTCTCAGTCTTGGCCATGTTGTTGAACAGCTTTCCAAGGAAGGTTCCCTCCTGAGAGGCAACCTGGGCAGTAGGGGCGTAGCCAGCGACGGCGCAGTCACCAACGGCCCAGATGTCGCGGGTTCCCTGAACGACGAGGTACTCGTTCACGGCAAGACCGCGGCGGGAGTCCTTCTGGGCAGCAATCTTGGTGGTGAGGTCCTTGATGATGGGGCGGACGGCGTTTCCGGTGGCCCAGACAAGCAGGCCGTAGGGGATCTCGACACGCTCCTTGGTACCGTCGGGGCGGGACACCTCGGCCTCGACAGCCTTGTCGGTGACCCTCTTGACCATGGTCTTGGTCTTGATGTCAATCTTTTCCTCACGAAGGGTGTTTTCGGTGTAATCGATGAGAGTCTTGGAGAACATGGGGAGAACGTTGGGCAGGGCCTCAATCAGGGTCACCTTGAAGCGAGGGCTGATGTCGGGGACCAGCTTCTTGATGTCCTCCTCGAAAAAGTCCTGGAGCTCGCCAGCGAACTCGACGCCGGTGGGGCCGCCGCCAACGACGACCATGTGCATGAGACGGTCAATCTCCTCGGGAGTCTGGCCCTTGAAGGCGGCAGTCTCGACGCAGTCCATGATCTTCTTGCGGATCTGCTGGGCGTCGCCAATCTCCTTGAGGAAGCAGCTGTGCTCCCGGACGCCGGGGATGCCAAAGGTTGCGTTCTCGGCGCCGACGCCAACGACGAGCATGTCGTAGGGGATCTCCGTCTCGGAGGTGGCGCCCTTGATCTCAGAGTTATCGGCAATGCGCACAACCTTGCGATCAGGGTCAATGGAGGTGGCCTCGGCTTCGTAGAACTTGGCGGCGGCCTTTTTGCCGCGGAGAATGGCGCGGACAGGCTCCATGATGGAGCGGTGCTCGATGGTGCCGGTGGTACATGAGGGCAGCAGAGGGGTGAAGAGGAAGTAGTTGCGGGGAGAGACAACGACGACGTTGTAGTTTTCGGTGTCGAGCTTCTTGAGGAGAGCAACAGATCCCCAGCCAGTGCCTGGTTTTTTTCGGATTCTCCGGTCAGCTTTGACATTGTCTCATCTCACACACGTTGAGCGCATCACGGCGGCATTGACTCACCCAGAATAACCAGCGTCTTCTTGTTGGGATCAGGCTCGTACTGCTCGTCGGGGTGGCGATCGTCGTAGATGTTGTAGGCAGTGAATCCAACGAGGCCAATGGCAGAGAGATAGGTCAGTCTCCAGGCCCATCTCAAGGTCCAACGCAGCTTGCCGGGCTTGGGCTTGGGGGCCTCGTCGGCGTAGGCTCTGCGGAAGGCGATGCGGCCCGAGTTGGCCAGCTTCATGGCGACAGAGGGCCGGGCGGCAGATCGCATCATCATGGCCTTGGTAGCCGTGGAAAAGGCTCGTGATGCGACGCCATTGGGGCCGATTGGGCCAGCCCGGGCGAGGGCTCTCATTGACTGTTGTGAAGCCATCTGCTTCGGGCTCCGGAACCGGGGATCAACACCACCACAGGGGGAACAGGGACTATAACAATGACAATAGCAGGGAAGACAAGGAACGATAAAAGGATATTGTCAAGACGATATTTCAAGTCGATTGTAGGAAGCGTGCGCTAGAGGATGGAGCTCGAGCTGTCCAGTGACTCGACCAGGGCAGAAGGCCTAAAAAAAAAGTTCAGGTTGATGACGCCCAAGAGCTTTAGCGGATCGAATTTTTTTCTCTATTTTTTTTTCTTGTCTAATCGATCCGCCTTCCCGCTGGAGAATTAATAACGCAGAAAATGATTGGGTCTGGCACCCACTTCAACGGTTGCTGCCCCTAGCACGGAGGGAAAGGCGATAAGGCATGCCAGAACGATAGAGAGACTGGAGATTAGAGCCATATCAACCAATTGATCACGACGATTCTTATACTTCCGGACCGGGACTCGCTGCAGACATGTGCCAGCGCAAAGCCTCCGTCCACTGCCGGTCCTGAGTAGTGCTCTCTTTCCGGGAAGCCGAGCCCTGCAAAGGACGTACGGACTTTTGTGCTCCGGGATACTGGAAGCTGGCTAGGGCAGACGGCGTTCTCTAGCCGGCGACACCAGCATCTGGTTTCCTCTGGTCTTCTCAGGTCTCATCGTGTCTCCTCCCCTTGACCTCTTCCATCTCTTTGGATTCTTTGAATTCGTCTTCTAGAGTCTCTCATCTACCATCTCACCGGTTTGATCCGTTGCGTTGTCTCGATGACGGACCGCCCCATCGAAGCCCCCGGATCCCGAAGCTGCTCCGGCCAGCGGCGCAGACGGACGGAGTGTTGGAGGCTCATCTCGGGATCTTTCGGAGGGTCCATGGCTGGGAAAAGGAGGAGAGCAAAGTAGCTCTGGAAAGCTAAGCGCACGCTATTATGTACGAGGGGCGTCTTGTCGCGATGGGTAAATTGAAGGCGGCTAGACGAGTTACGAAGACTTCAGCACGCCATTGGTCCGGTATCGCTGGATGACATTGCAAGTTGAACTGCGGCTGTTCTATTATGAGAAGCAGGCGAACCTGACGCATCTCGATGTTGAATCATGTACCGCGAAGCAGCCGGAGATGTACCACATGATAGAGTCACAAGAGTCATAGCCAGCGGAACTTTCCATCCTCAGCTTGCATGGAAGTTTCCAAGTGCATTCTCACGTGTGTTAGAAGCCGGCCGTTGAGACGCGCCCAATCACATGCACTGACGCTGGAAGATTCAACGACGTGCATGCGTCTCGTCTCTGGAGGATCTCGGAACTGAGGGTGTGCTGCTGTTATAAACCGAGGCAATTCAGAATTTCAAATCATTTTCAGCATCTCAAGTAGCAGCTGAATTGATTGAGCACCGCACAGGCGTGTCCTGTTGTTTCAACCATTTCACTCTTGTCTGATCTTCTCTGCTCCCTGCATGTGTCCATCAGCCCCAGCTGGTTGCGCCACCACCGCCCCCGCCTCATCTCATCCGGTCACTAGCCACACCGCCGGAACTCGCATCTCCAAGTACGTACTCGTAGATCCTGTCATCCTAACTCAACATCTGCTAGCGATATGAGCGCTCGTGGCGAATTCAATGCATCTACGCAATTGTTTTACGGCTGTCGACCCTGCCAGATGAAGGGGGCTCAACAGCTTCGCTCCCCCGTTCTCTCCATGGCAGCTCGACGAGTCAAGACTTGTTCAGTTTCATGCCCCAGCGCTCCCTTACACCTGAAACGCGCGACGATACACTTGGTGCTCCCGTTATAGCAGCAATTGCCTGTGCGCGTTGCATTTTGAGGCCTCCTTTTTTCGCAAGCATTCCCTTCTTGAGCTTCATATCCCTTTGGCTTCCCTTATTCTCCCTGGACTCCGTATTTCCCTGCTGTTTCCATTGCTCGGAGCTGCCGCCCGTCATGTAGAGATGCCCAAAACGGAAATCGTCAAAATAGGCCACTGTGGCGTCGTATCCTGGCTATATCAGACTTTTTGAGACGGAAAATCGCACATCAGAATGGTATGAAGCGCGGTGCTTGGACTCTGTTCTGAGGCAATCATGGGCAATATCGCCGTGTAAAATTGTATGAGGGAGTGTGTCAAGCTCGGCTCTCCTTGTACGCGTACGCCAGATTTGACCGTCCGTGTCCGTGTCCTTGCCCCCTTGTCTCCAGTCGAGATTCAGATTGGGTGGATTATCCCACTGACACACCCGTTCTCTTTCCTGTTACTGACGGGTTGCCCGCAATTTGCTGGGTTCGACGCGGCACTTTATGCTTTTTTTGGCGAGGGCTAGGATTGCACTCGTTCCCCAGAACGTGCCCGAGGAGGAGGCGCAAGATGGATCGACAACCTGTAACAGATTCGAGGTGAAAGCTCATTGGCTTCGAGTTTCTCTTCTCTATGCGGTGTTTCCTGACGGTTGCTCCGTCCCGGGTGTTTCCCCATTTTATTCTTTTGAAGATCCGGGAGGGCCAAGCGATATCTTATTAGCTCATCCCCACGTTTTTTCTTTCTTTTCCTCTTTCATGCTTCCTCTTTGAGAGAGGGTTTTTTCTTCTTTCGGCGTTTCTTTGTCTTTCTTTTATTCTTCGTTATGGGGATGGTTTCTTTCTGTTGATTTATTTTTGGTTAAAAGTGCAGAACTGGATTCTTACACGGGTTGGTGAATGGTTTGGTTTGGATAGTTTCGCTCTCTCTCTTTTTCCTTGATTCCGAAACCGAATATTTCGCATACTGTCATGAACCTGAACACGTTGATTGAAGCCGGTCTACATCAACGCTGCTCAAAAGCATAGGAGAGAAGGGGAATAGGTCATGGCGCCGACCTCAAGGACGGACAGGCGACGTTGGAATCCCAAGGGCGACATCAAACATCAGTTCGAAGCTAGCGCCGAAAACGCCAAGAAATCAGCAAGTGATATCAATTTGGGAGGAAAACTATGGCGAAGGACGCTCTTGGAACTATTGGGTCGGGACGGAAACAAGGATGAGGACGAGAGCGAAGACGAGAGCGAGAGCGAGAGTGAGGACGAGAATGAGCATGGGGACGACCGCTCTAATATTGGACTTCCTCTCACCAACCCCATCCCCCATCCTTCTCTTCCTTCTCTTCCTCAACCTCCTCCTCTGCCACCACTACCATCAAAACCACTTTCTGGGCTTTTCCATCCTCCCGAGTCCAGTCCTCCACCCAATTCAAACCCCCCAGCCGGAGCTCCGCCTCCCCAGCAACCTCCCCCACCTTCATCCTCTACCCCCCCTCAAGTATCCCCCACAGGAGTCACTGGGAATTTTGGATCTGCTTCGCCCTCCGCCAACCCTCGCAGAACTACACTCAGTGCAGCTCTGCCAAAGAGTACGTCTGGTGGTGATGATAGTGACGACGACGATGACGACGATGACGATGACGGAAGACCGTCGCCCACCCGATCTACTTTTTCCAAATCGACTCGATCCATCCTCTCTCTTACAGCCGCCATCTCGCCTTATGAGACATCAACAACCGAAGAGGGTGGGCAGAAATCCATCATTAGCAGCACCGAGAGCACAACTCGCTCCCTGACGACATCCACCACTGCGCCAGCACAGACTCCAGGAACGGCAACGAGAGTAGAGACGGCAGTGACGGGCATTCCAAGTCCGAATGGAACGGCAGCTATTGGACAGGGACAAGAGGCTGCGCGCACCTCTAGGCTAAGCCCAGGCGCCGAAAAAGCCGTCATTGCGTCTGTAACCATTGGTGCGTACATATCTTTGAGCAAGATTCATTTTCTGGATAACGCATAAAACTTACTGTTCTCAATGCAGGTGGATTCTTTCTTCTTCTGGTCCTGGGGCTGTTCTTCTGGCGCCGAGCATCTAGGCGTAAATCCGCGGGACGAAAGAATTCTTGGCCAGCCAATCCCCCCTCCGGCGAGACCTTGGCCGGCCCTCGGCGCGTTTCCACCAAAGTGGGCGAGAAGTTTACGTCTATGAAGGCCCATGAGTTCTTTGAAGGTCCTCGTCGCGTCTCCGGCAAAGTAGGCGAACAATTTACGTCAATGAAGGCTCATATCCGGTCGGGCTCCTTCGGATGGTGTAGCATCGCTGACGATGACGACGACACTCCCAAGACTGAGAAATCCGCGGCTCCGGTGGCGACGAATGCTGGTGGACTACTGGAAAGGAGATTGGGAACCATGACGCCGCCTCAGCGTGTTACGGTGAATTCATATGGGATGATTTTCCGCAAACCGAAGCGCGATTCAAGATTGTCGGACATTTTTCAGCCCAGGGGGCAGCAGAGGACGTGGCCCCCTTCTATACCTCCTTCTCCAGAGGTGCCTCCTTCTCCGGAGGGGATCAGGATACCAATCGTACGGCCTAATACGCAGCTGGCGGCGGCGGCACATTTGGAGAATGCGAGGAAGAGTGTGAACGCGGGTATAAGAAACATGCCGCGGACACCGAGGACGCCTTTGCGCCAGACTATTCGCATGAGCGACGTATCCTCTTTATCGTCAGGGTTCGGCGACGGGGATATTGTAATTATTCAGCCCCCTACCGCTGCCACGACTGCCAAGGCAGCCTACCCAGGTGCCGCTGACACGCATGTTAACGTCGTTGCCGTCAGAAGTAGTCCTGAGAGGAAACACTTTAGCGACCGATTTAGCAACCGAATCTCCCGGAGAGACACCGTCGGGACGAGTTCGTCGTCTGAGGATGGGCGGCCTCACTTTCGATCCATTTCGTCGTGGGTCGGCCAGCAGTCGCGCCGGGTGAGGCGAGCCGCGGCGAACAAGAATGAGGATGGGGTTCCTGATGTGCCGGACGTGCCGGAACAGGGATTTGATTTGATGATGCCTGATGGGCAGGAGCCGAGGAGAGTTGAGTCTTCGATGTGGAAGAAGACGTAGGGCGATGCTGTGTGGGTTAGGGGAATGGAGGTGGGAGCATGGTGGTTATAGCGGACAATAAAAAGGAGAGAAAATATAAACCTTTTCAACATAATCATATAGTATATTCCGTCTCTAAAGATTTATCTCTTCATTATCGCCTCTATGTTTTCATAACATCACACTAGGAGCCCCAAGTGTATTTCATCTGTCTATTTGTATGGGAACATTTCCCAAAAGCCAATCTCCATCTAGCGCAGTCATTAGTGAAATATCTCCATGATCAATAACTACTCGAAAGCTCACCTTTGTAGCATGTACGAAGATCTTGACGAGTTCTTCTATCCGGCTCGGCGACTGTAACCGGATATTCTTCTCGATGAGTTCTACGACCATCAGAGTTAGCCTCACATCAACTTTGAAAGGAACCAGGGGATAACACGCACCGCTCCCTAGTCTCACCGCCTCCACATAGTCATCAGCATTGTAGTTTTCGATCCACGCCCAGAAAGTGTTTCCTTCGCGGACGGTCGCCGCGTGTGCGTGCAGCATCTTTGCCACGGCGCCGTAGCCGAGGAGGCATGGCGCGAGGGCCATTTGGAGGGCGAGCCAGTCTTCGCTTTGGCCGACGTCGAGGACGTAGCGGGTGTATGCCGTGCAAGCTTATATGACGATGACATGTTAACAAGTGTATCTTTTCTTTCTTTTTTTTTCGGAGGAGGATGGGGGGGGGGGGGGGGGGGGGTTTCCTTTGTTTTATAAGG